GGGCGGGGGCCGGCGGGATGGCCCAAGTCGCCAAAGGCAGCACGCGCGCGTACCCTTGCAGATCAGCCACTCGGCCAGCTGGCAGCAGAGCTCACTGACACGGGCGCCGGCAGCACCCGGCGACCCGGGAGTGGCCTCGGTGTCTTCGTCCTCCATTTGGATGAAGGCCTCGTGCGTGTCGTGCACCCGGCCGATGTACTCCACCAGCTTGCGTACCAGCCAGAAGTACTCCACATGGAAGGGGCCACTGGGGCGGGTGATGTGGCTGCGCGCATGACCGGTGGATCCATGGACACATTGCACGCGTGCCGGTGCGTCCGTGGGTGCAGGCATATACCGGCGTTCGGGTGTGCATGCATCGAAAAACATGCACACACACACACACACACACACACACACGGGCGAACGGGGATGCACGGAAACGCACATCAGACGGCAGGATACGCGTGAGCAGGAGGAGCAGGGGGAGGAAGACATGGACAACGCGGCAGCCAGAAGGGGAAAACGCACTTGACGATGGCCTGCGCACGATCACACAAGGCATTGCCCAGGGGGAAGGTGGGCGCCCGGGGCGCACCGTCGGAGGCCGCCCCGGCCTGCTCGTTGAACGCGTCATACTCCTCGGCGAACATCAGGGCCGATGCCTCGCTCGAGGCCGCCGCCGCCGACAGAGCCAGATGCAGGGCATGCATGTCGCGCCAGAGACGATCCTCAGCGGCATCGGACTCCGAGGCGGCGACAGTCTCCGCCGCCGCCGCCGCCGCCGCCGCCGCCGCCGCCGCCGCCAACGGGCCCTCATCCAGCGCGTCGGCCGTGGACAGGTCCAGCTCCGCGCCGAAGAAGGACACCGGCAGCTCGGGCAGCAGGGCCCGCAGCCCGGCGTCACCGGTCTGCGCCAGACCCAGCTCATAGCATTGCATGGCCGCCAGCAGGTAGTTGACCGTGGTCTCCTCGGCCGGCGCGTCGCCCCCCGCCGCCCCGGCATGCAGCATCGCCTCATTCGGGTACAGGTGGTGCAGGTAGGCATACTCGCGCAGGGCATCGCCAAAGACACGGAACACGCCGCCCGGGCTCGCCAGGAAGGCCTGCTTCAGGACCTCGGCATCTCGAAGGGGCTGGCCATTGTCGCCGACCGCCACGCGCACCCGCGCCGCCGAGGTCCGAGGGAAGGCCCGCAGCAGGCGCTGGCACTCGTGAATCGTGCCCTGGAGCAGGGCCGCAAAGCGCACGGCATTGTGGTTCTCTGCCGGTCAGCCGGGGCGCAGGAGGGGCCCAGTGCCGGCGGAAAGGCATGTCAGCGGAAGGCCGAGCAGGGCAGAAGGGGGAGGCCTTTTCTTCTTCTTCTTTTTTTTCCCCCCCCCCCCCGTGCGCGTACACGCACCGGGCCACTTGGGCTCGGGCCGCACCTTTCTCCTTCAGGGCCTCGGCGAGAAGGGCCTCCACTTCGAGCCAGTCATTGGTGGCGCCGGTCGGCATCATGACGACGGCCTGGCTTGCGCCGGCCAGCGACACCCGGACAAAGGCCAGGCGAGGGGGGGATCGAAGCGGCGAGTGAGCACGGACATCGGGACAGGGCAAGGACCAGGGCGAGCAGCGACACAGCCGGGGGAAGGGGGGGGGGGCGCCCAGCGAGACGCAACCTCGACCCCGTGAGCGACGGACCTCATTCGGATTGTCAGCCGGGCGGCTGCGCTTCGAGTCACGATCCTCGGGGGCCGCGGCGCCAGTGGCGGGCCGCTTCTCAGAGCCAGCAGACATGGCGAGGTGCGAAGAAGAGAGGCGAGGTAAAGAGAGAGAGAGAGAGAGAGAGAGAGAGAGAGAGAGAGAGAGAGAAAGGAGGAGGAGGGAGGTGCCTCGATGCGGGACGGGGGCGGCGCGAGTTTGGGACAGGGAGCAGGTGGGCCCGAAGGGGGAGAGACACACATGCACGGATGAGGGAGACCAACGCGATCCAGATCGCCCGGAATGCTGGCCTCCCCTCAAGTAGCAGCGCCGGACCGATGCGGCGGCAGCTGGGCCGACCAGACGAATGGCCGCCATCGTGGCAGCGCGGTGTGCCAACGGGGCGGGCCGGGCGCCCGACGGCGGTCATGTTGGAGGGGAATCACGCGCCTCGGCGGGCCTGCGAAGCGCGCGCGCGCGCGCTCCGTGGACCGGGGGCGCATGAAGCCAAGAGCGACGCGCCTGGCTGGTGCCTGGCCGCGGCGACCAGGCCGGGAGTAACTGACTCCTTGTCCCCCTCGGCGCCTCTCCCCACCTCTGCCTTGCCATTCCCCCCCCCCCCCCCCGAGTTCAGACGTGTGCTCTCCCCCCCCCCCCCCCCCATACGCGTGTGTGTCCCCAAATAGTGATCCCCTTCTCGCCGCGTCCTGCCCCGCTCCGTCCCGGCATGACCGCGTATAGCCCCCCGTCGGCCGGGCCCCTTTCCCAAGACCAGGGGCACCGACCGGCTATGGAGTCCCGCGGTCGGAGTCGTTCGCCCGGCGGTTTCCGTGGTCGCAGTCGCTCACCTGGTGGTCTCCGTCACCGTGACCGCTCTCCTGGCGGCTTCCGTGGCCGTAGCCGCTCGCCCGGCGGCTTCCGTGGCCGTAGCCGCTCGCCGGGTGGCTTCCGTGGCCGTAGCCGCTCGCCTGGCGGCTTCCGTGGTCGCAGTCGCTCTCCCGGCGGCTTCCGTGGCCGTAGCCGCTCTCCCGGCGGCTTCCGTGGCCGTAGCCGCTCGCCCGGTGGTTTCCGTGGCCGCAGTCGCTCGCCCGGCGGCTTCCGCGATCGCCCTCAGGGACATCCCCATCGTCAGATGCAACATCAGCACCGGCCTCGCGACTGGTCGCCTCCGCGTCGTCCAGATGCCCGTGGCCCGGACCGCCGGCCGGGCGACTGGCGCGACGTCCCAACCGCCCACCAACGCGAAGACCAACGCGGCGACCATCGCGGCGACCATCGCGGCGACCATCGCGGTGGCTACCGCGATCGCCGTGGCGGCCCTGGCGGGGACAACGGCCCGCGTCCCGACTCGACCTTCTTCCTGGAGTGCGTTGGCCGTATATAACCTACATGCCATTGTTCTTCGTCCCTCTCTCCCTCTTGCTCTCTCTCTCTCTCCCTCCCTCCTCCCCTTCTGCCCCTGCCCGGTGATTGACCCAGCCTCTCCCTGCTGCCGGATTGTAGTCGCCTTTCACGCCGTGAGCGCCAGTCTGTCGACATTTGGGAGCGAAGCCCCTCCCCCCCGCCATACAAGACCCTGGGTGCGTCTGTCCCCCTCCCGGACCCTCCATACAAAAGCCTCCGTCCCTCGACCACCGCTCATTCCCTGCTCCTCCTCCTCCTCCTCCTCCTCCTCCTCCCCCTCCCCGCCAGTCCCCGACCCGCCGGCCGCGACCGACTCCACCACCAGCACCAAGCTTGCCTCGGCTCGGGGTGACCGCTCGGATGACAGTGCTTCGGATGACTCGCGCTCCCGGTCGCGCTCCCGGTCGCGCTCGCGGAGTCGACGCTCCCGGCGCCGACGGTCCTCCCGGGACCGGAGCTCGCGGTCCTCGGGACGGCGCTCGCGGCGGCGCTCGCGGCGTGACGACTCGGCCTCGCCGGAGCGTGATGACCGCCGGCGCCGGCGCCGGCGTCGTCGCCGCAGTGTGTCCTCCTCCTCATGCTCCTCCTCGGATTCGGACCGCTCGGTCTCCCCGGCCGGGTCTCGCACCACGGCCGACGGCAAGATCCTCCTCCCGACAGGCGACATGGGTGCCGTGTTCGAGGAGCGCATTGGTACGCACACGCCTCGCCCCCGCGCTCCTGCCATGCCGGCCGTGGCCCTCTTGGTCTTTTGCTTTCCGTGTCGACTCACCATGCAAGCGGACGGGTGCCGTGGTGGGGGGCAAACAAAAAAAAACAAACCTCCATCAACAGTCGACCCTCCTGCCGCCGGGGCCGCCCATGACTCGGACTCGGATGATGGCGCCTTCGGGCCGAGCCTTCCCAGCGACCAGGCGGCCGGGCTGGCGGACAAACAGCGCGGCGCCTCCAACCGGGAGTATGGTGGTGCTCTGATGCCGGGCGAGGGCTCGGCCATCGCGGCCTACGTCAAGGAGGGCAAGCGCATCCCCCGACGCGGTGAGATCGGCCTCTCGTCGGAGCAGATCCAGCAGTACGAGGATGTGGGCTTTGTCATGAGTGGCAGCCGGCACCGGCGCATGAACGCCATCCGCATGCGCAAGGAGAACCAGGTGGTTAGTGCCGAGGAGACGCGCGCCATGCTGATCGAGATGAAGCGCGAGCGCGAGGAGTATGAGCGCACGGTCAGCGCGCAGTTCCGTGAGATGATCGACAAGCGCAAGCAGGAGGGTACGTCGCGCGTCTTCCATCGCCGCGCCTCTCGGGGTCTTGCCTGCAAGGGGGGAGCCCTTTCCCTTTCATGCCATGCTCACACCCACACACACACATCACACACAACATCGCACGCACATCGCACGCACATTGCACATCGCATACACACACACACCGCAATGCAGGCCTCTCCCAGCTGGATGCCTCGTCGCGGCGCTAGTCGCAATACACCCACATCATGTGACATGTGTTTCCCGATCGCGCTCGGGCTGAGGTAAGGCAGGGCGGGGGGGGGGGGGGGACCATCCAGGGCAGAGGGCCTGCGGGTGTGCTGGCAGGAGGAGGAAAAGAAAACACAGGGCACCGGACCAGCCACACCGCGCACAACACAGCCGCCTGTCTTCCGCCTCCCTCCCTTGCCCCCCGCCCCCGTCCCATTCCCCCGGCCCCATACACACACGCACACACACACACACACACACACACACACACACGCACACACACACACGCGCGCCCATGTCTTCCGACTCCGACAGCGATCTCCTGTCGGACTTCTCCCTCTCCGACCTGGAGGACACCGACGATGGACCCAATCCCGCCCCGGGGTCAGCATTGACCGCTCCGATGACCGCTCTCCGGGTCCCAGTCACCACACTCACCACCGCGTCGGCCGGCGCCCCGGGGCCCGGAGGGTCGCACGCCGCCTCGGCCGGCCGGCCCTCGGCCGTCGCCCGCGGGCCTGTCCCCGCCTCTGGCGCCGGTCCTGGGAGGAGACCCCCCGGCCCTCGGCTGACCGTGGCCGAGATGACACAGTTCCCGCTGCCCGGCGGGCCGCAGGTGGTCTCCGGTGGCTCGCAAACGCCCTCCCGTGTGAAGGTGGCCCTGGCCCCGGGCCACGGCCCGGGGGACTGGCTGCGCCTTAAGCGCTCGGGTCATCCCTCCCTGAGGGTGCGTTCGGGCACGCCTGACAAATGCGCCCCGCCCC